CCGCGGGTTGTTGGGGTTGGTGACCAGCAGGCCGCGCACCGCGATGCCGCGCGCCGCGGCCGACACCACCGCGCCGTCCAGCTGCGCGCGGATGGCGGCGGCGGCCACGGGCCCCGCCTCCGGGTCGCCCTCCTTCAGGTAGAAAGGCAGCGGCTGCACGGAGCACTTGACCTGCGCGGCAGCGGAGGCGCGACGCAGGCGTGGCGGTCGCTGGCGGCACGGCTGGCGCACGACAGCATAGCATAAGGGAGAGGCAGGTCGAGGAAGGCGTCGCCAGCTGGCCGCCCTCCACAAGCGCTGCGTCCCTGGGCAACAGCAGCGGCCTCGCACCTGCAGGTCGTTGTCAAAGGCTGGGTAGTATGGCGCTGGGATCAGCACGCCCTCCCCAGCGTCGCAGATGCACCAAAACAGGCTGTCCAGCAGCGCGCCGGCGCCTGCACGGGCGGGCAGGCGGGCAGGCAGGCAGGCAGGCAGCGGGCGGGTGGGCGGGCTGTGTCCGGTGGCGCCACGAGCCGGCGCGTCGCCAGTTTGCTGGGGCTGCTGCTGCTGCGTTCCTCAGGGGGACAGGGGCGCCCGCCACGGCTGTCTGCTGCTGGAATTCCAACGTTTTAGTACCTGCCGCAATGACGACATTCCCCGGCTCCACCTTGTGCCCCGGCACCACATGCCGCTCCAGCAGGCCCGCCATGGCCGCCTGGCACTCGGGCATACCCTTCATGCTGCGGCCCGGGCGGGCAACGGGGAGCAGGGCGCCGATCCCTCAGCACGTGCAGCGGATACCACATCTGTTGAGATGCAGGTGGCCTGCCCACCAGCGGACAAGCCCACCTGCCTGCCAAGCTGCCAGAAAAGAGCGAAGGCGGCACCAGCTAGCAGACAGCGGCGGTGAGCAGGCTGCAGCGGCGGCACACCTAGAGTAGTTCAGAACAGAGCTGGGGGCGCCTTTGGCCGCCTCCAGCCGCTCCAGCACCAGCGAGTTGGCCAGCTTGTTCTCCGCCACCACCAGCGGGATCCATCCGTCCTTCTTCTTCTCGGCATCCCTGCGCGTGGCACGCAGGCAGGGTGGCCCCAGCGTTGACGGGGCACATGGCGGCGGCGGCGGCGGCGGCGGCGGCGGATGGGCTGGCACCGGCGCAGCGCAACACGCATCAATGCGACCGAGGCAAGCCAAATTCAGATGCAACAGTGTCTGCCGCTGGTTCTTGTTGCTTCAGGATGCGCGTTCGAATCAGCGCTGAAGCTTACCAAAGGCCCCCAGCGTTTGCTTTGACGAATTCAGCTATGTAGGAGAGCGCAGGTTTGAGCAGGCGGTCGCTGCGAACGCTGCAACCGCCTCGATCGTCCGCTGCAACTTTGGTGTCAGCGGCTGGAGCCATGGTGGGCTGCCCGCAGAACTGTGGAGAGAGAAGAATGCAGCGTAAAGCGATGGGCGGGCTCCGGAGGACTCCATGTGCGGCCACAGGACCGCCACACGGGCGGCCAGCGGGCGGCAGCGGCCGTAGTCCCCATCTCCGCACCCGCTACCGACTAGGAAGCCGCAAACTAATAAGTATTTAAATTGCCAATGAAGCAATGGACAACAGTCGGCACGGAACAGCTGCAACGGCCCTGCAACGGCGTCACGCAAAGGCGTCACGCTGCCGCGTTTTCCTCCTCTGCAATGTTCAGCCGCGGGCCGGGCTTCCACGTGGTGCCCTGCGGGGTATCCATGATCAGAATGCCAGCCGCCTCCAGCCGCAACCGCACCTGCAAGGAAGGGAGGTCCAGAGCAACGAACAAGGGCTGGGGGGACATAGGCAGAGCATCGGTCGACGACACAGAGCAGCGACGGCGGCCCAGGCACAGAGAGGTGCAGCCTGTGCCACAGCTCACCACGTCCGCTGCTGCATAGTCCTTGGCCGCCCGCGCCGCTGCCCGCTCCTCGATCGCCGCCGCAATCTCGTCCTCCCCAAGCCCCGCCCTGCACGTACAGTAGATCAAGGCGGCATGGTTGGACAGGCACTGCACTGCAGGACTGCAACTCAGCAGCCATGCTGCCACTTGCAGCTGCCTCTCGCCAGCCCCAAACCTAGGGACAGCCTCCGAGGCAGTCTCACCGCTTGAGCGCCAGCTGTCGCAGCTCCAGTAACACGTCCTGCGGCTGCTCCGCCCACAGCCCCAGCAGCTGCAGGCACGTCTCCAGCGCTGCGTAGCACTCTGCAAGCGCCTGTAACCGCCCCGCCTGCTTCTTGCCCTGCAAGGAAATCGCAAATGCCCAGGAAAATGGTGCGGCACTCAGCTGGCTGGGCAGGAGAGCCAAGGCAACCCACGTCGAGGCAATGCGAGCCAGCCATTCAAGCAGCGGCACGCAGCTGCACTGCCAGGTCAGCCCACCTTCTTGGTGTGGACAAGGTCATTGGCGGATTTGAGCGGCGCGGAGAAGGCAGCTATGGCCAGCGGCGTGTTGACATCATCCGTGAGCGCAGCCTGCACCTCTGCCAGCAGCCCCGAGCCCGAGGCTGCCGCTGCCGGCGCCGCCAGCTGCTGCCGGGCCGCTGCCAGCGCTGCCTGCCCCTCCTCGCCGCCATCCAGCACCGCCCCCATGTCGGCAAGCGTCTGGTAGAGATAGAACACCCGGTCCGAGGCCTGCAGGCCAGGCACACAGGTGTGCAGCAGCGGCAGCCGCTGGTGAGCATCGCAGGCAGCGCACATCCCAGGGGCAAGGCGCAGCTAGGAGGAGCGGCTGGGCGCCAGCCGCGAGCCTCGAACGCATCCACCAGCCCGCACCCCTGCCGTGCACCACCCACCTCCTCCAGCGCCCGCTGCGTGTAGTTGATGGGCTGGCGGTACTGCGTGCCGACTAGGAACCAGCGCAGCGCCCGCGGGTGGTACTGCGCCACCACCTCCCTGCACGACAAGCACAGCAGCAAGCAGGGTTGCCCGGACAGGGAGGGATGAGCAGAGCAGGCAGGGCCCGCACGTCACCTCAAGTCAGGGGCTTGGCAGCCAGCGCCATGGGACAGGACCCATGCCAGCAGAGGATTAAGCAGTACCTGCAGAGGCAGTACCTGATGGTGAAGAAGTTGCCCAGCGACTTGCTCATCTTCTCGCTGTCCACATTCACAAAGCCTGCAGACAAGATGGATAGAGGGCACGAAGGCGGATCCCGGGCTCTAGAAGCAGCAGGGACGCTCCCAGAGGTGGCGCCACGCAGCAGCAAGCACCATGCATAGCAGCCTCCTGGCGCCCACCCACCATTGTGCAGCCAGTAGCGCACAAACTCATCCTGGCCGCCGCCGCCGCTGCCGTTGCTGGCGCTGGCGCTGGCTGTGGCGGCGCCGTGGTCGTGGCCGCAGCTGCAAGCACCCGAGGCCGCCCGCGACTGCGCCAGCTCGTTCTCGTGGTGGGGGAACACGAGGTCCCTGCAGCCTCAGGGATGGAGTGAGCTACCTATGGTATAGCGTGCTGGAAGCAAGGGGTAGGTATTTGATACCTACCTCCAGCAGCTAATATAATAAACAATAAATCATAAATCATAAATCATAGCCGAGACACAGCAGCCAGCCAGGGCAAGCAGCCAGGCACACGACGTTGCAGGTCCAGGATGGACGTTGAGCTGGTCACATGCCCGGCGCACCACCACTGGCAACCCACCTGCCGCCGCCGTGGATGTCAATCACCTCCCCCAGCACCTCCCGAATCATCGCGCTGCACTCGATGTGCCAGCCTGCAGGCGGAAGGCAGGTGGCCGAATGGACGGGCGTGTGTGCAGGCATGCCAGCTCAGCCATCTCAGCCAGCCCTCCAAACGATGGCCCCTGCGTGGGCACCCCTGCCACGCAAACATGGCCCTTTGGCGTGGCGCTGCTGCTGCAGCCTGGGCCGGGCCACGCACCCGGCCGGCCGGGCCCCCAGGGGCTCTCCCATGTCGGCTCTCCCGGCTTGGCCGCCTTCCACAGCGCAAAGTCGGCGGCGCCGCGCTTGCGCTCATCCACCGCCACCCGCTCCCCCGCACGGTTGTCCTCCTGCATGACCGTCACCGGCACCGACATATGGCCAGTCATACGCCAGCAAACGTGGGCAGGAGAGGAAGGGGCGTGCCGCGACCACCCCGGGCCTGCCCTGCCATGCGTGCCTCATCTTCTGTGGGGGAAAGGGGTTGCGCACCTGCGACCGCCCGGACAGCCTGCCGTAGCCCGGCAGCGAGGCGACGTCGAAGAAGACGTCGCCGCCCACGGCATAGGCGTGGCCGTGGTCGATGATGCGCTGGATCATGGCCACCATGTGGGGGATGTACTCAGTCGCCCGGGGCTCCAGGTCGGGGGGCAGGCACCCCAGCAGCTCCTGCACGCGGGCGGTCGCCCAAGTAGGGTGGACGCCGGCAGGGGTGGCAGGAAGTGCCAACAAGGACCCGGCGTGGCTCCCCCGGCAGGCCCCTGCCCTGCCGTTCCGGCTCCAGGTCCATACACATACAACATCAAGCTGCCACACACGAAGGCGCACCACGGTGCCATCACCTGCACACACCACACATGCCCCCCACCCAGGCCTCACCATGTCTGCGTGGAACTCTGCGATGAAGCGGCGGGCGAGCGCCAGCGGCTCCTCACCCGCCGCCGCCGCCCGCGCGATGATCTTGTCGTCCACATCAGTGAAGTTGCGCACGTAGGTCACCGCGTAGCCCAGGTGGCGCAGCAGGCGGTAGATGACGTCAAACGCCACGTAGGCGCGCGCGTGGCCTGCGCAGGGCGCGGCCGCGGCGGGGTTAGAACGTGTGGAGCACAAGCGCGTGCAGCTGGCAGCACAGCTGCCCTGCTGCCAAAGGGAGCGGGCGATGCCTTGGGCAGCAGTGGGGCCGGACTCCTGTGGCAGGTGGCGGCCAGCAATATGATACGCAAGCCCCAAGACAAGCGGCGCTAGCGGCACTAGCGGCACTAGCGCTTGGCCCCTGCCCACCCCGCCCCTTCTTCTCACCGATGTGGCTGTAGTCATAGACCGTCACCCCGCACACATACATGCTGACGCGGTTGCCCTGGTCGGCCCGCGGCCGGAACACCTCCTTCTGGCGAGTCAGGGTGTTGTGCAGGAGCAGCTCGCGGCCTGCCGGCAGAGGCGCCGCCGCGGCCTGTTCGGCTGCGGGCGCTGCGGCGGCCTGCTGCGCGGCGGAGGCTGATGTGCAGCACAGCCGGCTTGGGTGGTGCCGAGGGTGCAGGCGCCAGGGGGCTGCCGCCTGCAATGGCAGGAAGCGAAGCAGCGACGGGCGGCATTTGCAGGCGGCGCCAACAAGGCAGCGCGGCACCTGGCTGGAGGTGCTTGGTGTGGTCTGCGCCGCTTGCAGGCTCGAGCATGTGCTCCCCACCTGCTGCTGGCCTGCCACGCGCCCCGCTGCTCCGACTGCGGTGGCTCCCTGCCGAAAGCCCAGCCTAAGGGCCCGCCACATGGCCACGGCGGGGTGACTGCCCAGCTGATTACTCAATTGGGCCATCCCTGAGGCCGCTGAGCACGGGCTGCAGCCCAATGTGCGTGGTCCAGCAAACTTGAGGTGCCAGCCCTGAAGAAGCGGGCGCAGCGTTGATCGATTATGCCAGTGTGTGATGTTGCAAGCAGCAAGGTGCATAACGTGCAGAGTTGAGGGCCATCCTCCGTGCTGTGTGCTGTGCGGCGCCAGAAATGAAGCCACTTGGCGGCCTTCTGCACTCTGCATTGGCAGCAGCGCACTCGCATTGCACAGTGCCGCATCGCCAGAGCGCGGGCAGACAGGGCGGCGGCAGCATGGACAAGACTGCCATAGACTGGAGCAGGTGGGAGCCTCGCAGCACCGTGTAGCAGCACCACCACGGCCCCTGTGCCCGCACCCATTGGTGGGGTTGCACTCTGCACAAACATGACCGCAGTCACTTGACCGCTGCCGCCGCCGCCGCAGGCTAGACAAAACAAAGTTCTTCGTTGTCGGCACTGGCCTCTTCACGGTGATCGTCGGGCTCCCTGAATGTGGGGCAAGCTGTGTGGGCTGCCACCTGCCGCCTGGTGCCGTCGCTTGCGGCAGCGCCACAAGTTGCTGAAGAGGCTGGCTCTTAGCTCGCGCGCGTGTCGCCCTGCAGGGGCTGACGACATGCCTGTACCCGCTGTCGGTCATCAAGACGCGGCAGATGGCCCTGGCGGGGTCGCAGCCGGGGCTCAAGGTGCGGTGAGGTGCCGAGTGTGTGTGCTGTTGAGGTGGCCGTGTGGCAGGCAGGGGACGACAGCTCTCCAGCGGCTACCTCGCCTCATGCCCTTGTCAAGCATTGAATTCAGCGGAGCAGTTGAGCAGTTTGCCTCCTAGCATGTGCAGAGGGAGGATGCAGGGGATCATGGCTGCACCCTTTGCCCCCGACCCTTCCCGCCGGCTGCCACCCTGCAGGGCGCATACCTCACCGCCCGCACCGTGGTGGCGCACGACGGCATCCGCGGCCTGTACAAGGGCTTTGGCACGGTGGTGTTTGGAAGTGAGTGATTCACACACATTGATGGATGGTCCCCAGGCAGCTGGGAAGGCACATGTGCCTGCTGGCAAGCGCAGCTGGCTTGGCATATGGGGCGCAGGTGCCGGCAGGCGGCGGCACGCAGCCTCGGGCAGCACGGCCAGCAGACTGAACCACACACGCTGCCCCCCCTTCCCTGCCGCAGTGTTCCCGGCACGCATGGTGGGCTGGCCAGCCAGCGCTTCATCAAATGCTTGGAGGGGCATTCGTGTCGCATCGCTCGCCGCCGTGCTGCCTGCTTCCCTGCTGCTGCCGTCTCATGTGTGTTCCAATGCCCTGGCCCGCAGATCTACCTGAGCACTCTGGAAGTCTCCAAGTCCTTCAGCGGCAGCCTCCTGGCCCGTTTTGACCTGCCTGACACCGCGGCTCTGGGCGCCGCCAGCTTTGTGGGCGGCGCCATGGCCTCGCTGTCCTCCCAGCTGATTGTGGTGCCGATCGACGTGGTGGCGCAGCGGCTGATGCTGCTGGGAGGCGGCGCGAGCGGCGGCGGCGCCAGCGGCGCCAGCGGCGGGCCCGCGGGCCGCGCGGCGGCGGCGACCGAGGCGGCAGCGCGGCGGCGCACCACGGGGCTGCACCTGGCGAGGCAGATTGTGCGGCAGGAGGGGTTGCGGGGGCTGTACCGCGGCTTTGGCGCCTCGCTGGCGATGTTTGTCCCCAACAGCGCCATCTGGTGGGCGGGCTGCTGCTGTGGCTTGGCTCTTGGCAGGCTGGCGGGAGGAGCAGCAGGATTCACGCTTGCAGCACACAGCTGGCCTGGCAGCACGGGCTGCGCATGCTGCCATGCCTGGCCTGCCCTCTGCTTGCCTGCCGGCTGAGGGCGTTGACCCCTGGTTGCACTGTCCCGCTGGCCCCGCCTGCTGCGCCGCTGCAGGTGGGGCAGCTACGGTGTGTGGCAGCAGGTGCTGTGGCACCAGGTGGATGCGGCGCGGGGCCACCACTGGCACAGCGAGGGCGAGATCCTAGGCGTGCAGACGGCGGCGGGCATCCTCACGGGCTGCACCAGCGCCGCCCTCACCAACCCGCTCGACGTCGTGAAGACTCGGCTGCAGACGGCCGGCGCCACGGGCGCGGCGGCCAGCCTACCCGCCGCGGCGGGCGCGCCGGCAGCAGCGGCAGGAGCAGCAGCAGCGACAGGAGCGGGAGGAGGGGCAGCGGCAGGAGCGGGAGCGGCGGCGGCGGCGGCGGGGGCGTCGTTGCGGCGGCCCACGTGGCGCCAGGTGGCGGCGCAGCTGGCGCGGCAGGAGGGTGTGGGCGGCTTCTTTCGGGGCGTGGCCCCCAGGATGGCCAGCAGCTCCATCTGGGGCACCGCTATGGTGACCAGCTATGAGTGGCTCAAGCGGCTGTGTGCGCGGCCCCCGGAGCATGCAGGCGCGCCGGTCTGAGCTGCACGGGAGCTGGGCGGGCACAGATGCTGGCCGTCGCAGCCTGCTGCCTCCTTTTGAGCCGCATCTAGGTCTAGTTTGCCATTCTTTCATTGAAATCCTGTGCTGCGTCTCCTCTTTCTGGTTGACCATTTCATCAGAGCCTGCCGTACCTCCCTTTTGCCGTCCCTACACATTTTGCTACCATGTGGTTGTTACCATCCTTTGGTATATACCTTTGGTATACAAGGGAGTTCCCTGACAGCTTTGCTACTGGCAAGTGAAGATCTCGGCCGTTTCAGCATGCTCAACGTTGAGTACAGTGCGTGCAGCTGACATCAGCAAGCCAGCCTGTCTGCTCGGCCCAGAAGCCATGTTTACGATCATCATCCCAACCTTAGCAGCTCAATACGAAGCCATGCAGGTCAAGGGTGTTGCCATCCTCCTCCTGCTGCTGCTGGCGGCCAGCAGCGCCACCTCTGCCTCCCTAGCAGGTGGGGAATGTTGCTCAAGTTGGGGCTGGCTCAGTTTGGCATGGGCCAGCTGTCTAGCTGACGGGAGGGCCGGGAGCCAGCACTGGTTGGCTGCTCCACTTGTCGGCTGCTCCACTTGCCGGTCCGAGGGACGCCAGCTGGCAGCGGCGGCTGCGTGCCCTCCCTTGGTCCACCTGCTGCATTGGCCCTTGCTCGCCGCCTGCCCTCCCGACACCCTGCAGTCTCCCGCCGCTCGCTGTTGGCGTGCACCGCACCCAAGCCCTCCCCCGACTGCGTGTGCCGCTTCGGCAAGTGGAGTTGCCCCACGCCCTGCGTGCCGCCGTCCTCCGTGAGCTCCTCTTGCTCCTGCCAGGAGCAGGAGCAGTGCCCCTCCAGTGAGTTTCTCCTCCTCCTCCTCCTTCTCCTCCTCCTCCTACTCCTTCTCCTCCTCCTCCTGATGCTGCTTCTGTTGTCGTCCTCCTAATGCTTCGGTTGCTCCAATGCTCCTCCTCCTTCCAATGATCCTCCTTGAGAATCAAAATGAAATTGCAACGACTTCACCACCAAGACCTGCACCCCAACCTACACCTGCACCTGCACCGGCGGCTGCGGGTGGTCTGGTGGCCGGATCCGCCTGCACCTGCTGCCAGTACAACGGCGGCCCCTGCCCCACCACCCTGACCGGCGCCAGCTACACCGTGGCAGGCTGAGCCGGCGGTGGGTGGCTGCATGAGCCAAAGGCGGCATGCACCCTAGTGGAGGAAAGACCCTTTAGGAAAGAACGCCTAGCTGCATCGCCACTCAAACTAGCGCCGCTCAATGATTCTCAGGCCAGCTTGCATACCATTTGCCCTTCACAGCTTTCCTGGGCATCTTTCTACACCACAACTGCCCATTCTGCACCTGATGCGACGACGACGCATGCCCCTCTGTTGAGCGCTCTGTAGCATTAGCGTGTTGCCTTACACGGGCGCCAAGGTGGCCCATCGCATGGTGTAATGCGCGCACCCCAAGCAAGCCTCAATAAAATACAGAGCGGGGCAGAGAAGAAGCATACCTGGCCTACTACGCCTGCTCGGCAGCCTGCTGCTCAGCAGTTGCCGCCTCCGTCTGCTCGGCCGCCGCCGTGACACCGCCGCCATCGCCGCCGCCCTCCTCTTCATCATCCCTATAAATGTCGGAATACTCCAGGAAGAGGCGATACATGTAGCACTTGTGGTCCTCCGCCCGCAGCTTGTGGTTGACGTACTGCGAGGCGGCCGCCGCCACCTGCCGCGCCTCCTTGTCGTGCTCCCGAATCCACTCCACCTTGCTGGGAAGGTTGTCATAGTTGTGGCTGCAAGGGCAGGGGAGGCAGCGCACAGGCGGCCAGGCCGGCAGACAGCGAGGGTGAGAGGCGAGGCGGAGGTCTGTGCTCAGTGGTCCAGCTGGCCAGGCTCGTGCTGGCAAACAGCCATCCAACGCATCCCCGGAGCGGGGCACGGCAAACCCCCTCCCTGCATGTGCCCATGGTGCAGCACCACTCACAGGGGCAGGTAGTGGCGGTGCGGCACCAGGCGGGAGAAGAACCATTCGCGGAACAGCTGGCCCACCAGGGGCACGGAGCCGGAGCAGAGGGCCGCGCCGAGGCGGGACGAGGCGCCGTTGCCGTCCACCACGACCACCGCCTTGTGGCTGTACAACTGGGCGGCGGAGCGCTTGACGGCAGCACCGTACTGCTCCTTCATGGCGGCACAGGATGCCTTGTCGCACTGCACGTACCGCGTGAATGCGGCATCCAGGTGGTCGGGGTACTGGCGGGACAGGTTGACCAGCCGCTGGCGCTGGAAGAGCTGCCACGTCTCTGCACGGGCGCACGCGGCGCTTGGTTGGCCTGGGGCAATGCCAGTTGAGAGGCGGAAGCAAGGCGATGCAGCCTGGCCACAACAGTGCTTTGGCAGGCACACAGGCAGCCCACCTGCCGGCATGGAGGCATCAACCTGCGCCCCTGAGCTGCTGCCGCGCCAGGCAGCGCTGTCAGCCTGCAGGCAAACGCTTGGCGCATGCTGGCTGAGAGTGGGGTGGGATCCTTAAGAATGCCTCCTGATGCCCTAGTGTTCCCCCATGCTGCATGCGCTGGGCCCTGCCTGATCCCTGTATTGCCTCACATGCATGCATGCATGAGCAGCAGCGAAAGCTTGCCTTCTCGTCCCACGGCATGCTGCTGATGGGGCAGCCGGAGTGGAGGCTGGCCCTGTTCTCCCGGGCCTGGCTGCTGGGCCACTTGCGGGGCACCAGAATGTCTGCAGCACGGCAGCAGCAAGGTCCCTGGATGGCGCCTGATGAACAGGGCTTGCTCAAGGGTGAGCACCCCACCCCTGCCAGGGCAGCAGGCGCGGCGTGCCTACACCCGCTGAGATGCACGCTGTGCAGCTGCTGCCCGCCACCCTGCCTGAACCGCTACTGAGAGCGCGCTGTCGGGGCACGCCGCTGCCAGCCCCGCCCAGGCTGCACTGCAGCCACCAGCTCACCGCTGAAGCAGCGCGGGATCTTGGAGCCCGACAGGATGGGGATGGGGCCTCGCGCCGCCCAGAACGCCTCGCTGCCGGCGTCCCTGCCCCGGCTGAACACGCCGTGCAGCGGCTTCGCCTTGTTGAGGCCCACGGCATCGCAGGCGTGCTGCAGCCAGGCCTGCTCCGGGTCCATGCTGCCGTCTGCCAGGGCAGTCTCCACGGCGGCGGGCAGCGGGGCAACCCAGGAGCGGGGCAGGTCGTGGAAGCTGATGAGAAGCTTCATGTCAGGCAGGTCCGCGGCAAAGTCGGCTGCCTGCTGCTTGTACCAGCCCAGACCGCCAAAGGGCAGGCCCGGTGGCACGCTCTTGTCCACCACCACCTTGCCGTCACGTATCGTCAGCACGCCCGTCAGGTCTGGTAGCGAGCGCCGCGCAGCTGCCACTGCAGTACCGCTAATACCGCCTGCCTCGCGGTACGGCCACAGGTCGTTGAAGATCTGCTGGTAGTCCCGGTCTTCCAGCGGGCAATGCCTGCAGGGGCGCCACAGGGGAGGGCCAGCTGAGGGGAGGGGTGGAGAACATGCGTGGCAAGCCGCAGCGGACTGGCCAGGCCAGTATGCGGCGGGGCTGCTGCCGCTGCCGCTGCCGGCGGGATTGGTTGTGCACAGCATTGCCATCCACAAAGCTAGTCCAATCTGATGGGAGCTGTCTGCATGTACTCACCTTGCCCTCGCATACTTGCGCCACTTGCCGAGCCGGTCCGCCGGGAGGCGATCTGGGTACTCCTCGTGCTGCGGCTTGCTGGCAGGCTCTGGCTCGCTGCCTGGTCCTGGCTCGCTTTCTATTGACTGCACCTCAATCTCGGGCTGCTCCTCCTCCTCCTCCAGCGGCGGGCTATCCTCCTCGTCAGGTGCGACCGCCCTGCGAGCGCCGGTGCTGTGCGCCACCGACAAGGCGCACAGACAGGCCGCCGCCAGGACGATGGCGGCAACCATCGGCGCTCGCCTTCTGCGCGCCCGCCTGTCGGCCACGACTCTGTTCATTCAGGACAGCTGTGCAAGCTGGACAGCCCGCGGCTTGGTGTCACAGGCGCCCAACCACTGCAAGAGCCATTCCCATCGGGCCCGCCACCTGCTGCAGGCACGCAGGGAAAATGCGGAGATCGATGAAATGGCGAAACCCGTTCGCCCCTGTCCGATCCTCCCAGCTTCAAACAAGTACAGCCGTATCGCCCCGCCGACATTCCATGGCTGGACATTCGGGGCCGCCTGGCCTTCTGGACAGGCAACCTGATCATGCAGCTTATACATCTCCGCCAGCAAACATTTAACTGACATCCTTAGTAATTGATGCCTTAGGCAATGATGAAAAGCGCCGATCAGCGCTGGCGGCAGCCAGGAGCCCCAACCGTGCCCCGACCACTCGCCGCACTGTCGCCGTTTTGTTTTGGGGGGGGGTCGAGTTCAATGTGATCAGAAAGTCAGAACAGGGGAATGAATCAAGTGTGGGGGGATGAAAGGTGGAAAGTGGACAATGCTGAAAGTGGAATCAGCATCTGACAAATGACTTGATCATTATTCGCCGCCGGCGTCGCCACCATAGTCGCCGCTTGCTCCATCGAAATAATTACTGCCGTAGTGGTGGCTGTCGCTGTGGTGGCTGCTGCTGTCGGCGAGGTCTGTAGCATCAACCGATTGGTCATCGTCGCTGCCCTGCTGCTGCTGCCCCCAGAGGCTGCCCCAAGCAGAGCCGCCAATCCCCTCCATGCCCTGCGCATCCTCCACTGCCCGCCGCGCATCTTCCTGCGCCCGCTGTTCCGCCTGGCGGACTGCCGCCTGTGCCTGCGCTCTCTGTTCGTATGCCGAAGCCAGCGCCGCACCCTGGGCCTCCTCCGCCTGCCTCCGCGCTGAGCTGGCAAAGTCGAAAGCAAAGCCTGGATCCGAGCTGGCAAAGTCAGAGTAGCGCTGCCCGGCCCCGCCGGCACGCTGCTGCGCCCCCTGGCTGGCAGGCTTGGGGAGGGCAGCGGGGCTCTTGGCCACAAAGCCGCCCAGCTCCTTCACCCGGTCCTTGTTCTCCTCTGCAACCCAGCCGCGCAGGCAGGCCGGGCCAAGGGACGTCGGCGCAAAACGGAAACCAAAGTAACGACATTCCCGGTTTCAGGAGGCAGCCACCGCCACCACCGCCACCACCGCCACCACAGCCTGAGCCACAGACGCACACTCGAGCATGCACCACCTTCCTCATCTGCAGCTGCCGGGCTCACCCAGGTGGTTGTTGATCACCTCTGCCAGCCACTCCTGCTCCAGCGGGTTGAGCCCCTCCCCAAACACGTGCCGGTTGATGCCCTCCTGCGGCGGCATCCCAACCAGCAGGACCAATCACTAGGCAATGAATTAATGGGCAGAATCGAACAGCAGAGCCGCCATCAGGAGGCGCTGCCGCGGCCGGCGCCCGAGTCCCAGCATCTCAGCGGCCCCGCCGGCCCTCCAGGCCCAGCAGCGGCACGAGCAGCAGGCAGCCATGGCACGTGCAGTCGCGGCTCCTCTCGGGAGGTAAGGCGCACGCCCGCGCACCTGCAGCACCAGCTGGTACTGAGGCTGGCCGTTCACCACCATGGGTACCTCGATGCTGGCAGACTGCAGGTCGCCAGAGCGGCCTGCAGCGGCGCGGGCAGGGGACGCCCCACACGGAGGGATGAGCGTGGGTGGGGTGGGGGTGGCAGCCACAAGGGTGGGTGCAACTGCTGGGGCCCCAGGCTGCACCGCCAGAGGAGCGGCGAGCAAGGAGCTCGACAGCCAGCCAGCAGCGATGATCACAGAGCCTGCGCGGTGGGCAGAGCGGCCGGCCCCGGGGCGCCGCCGCCCACCTGACACCTGCTTGCTCTGCGCCGCCCCCTCGCTCCATTCCGCCTTGCCCCCCCGAGCAAGGGCCACCTGCTGCTCAATCTTCCAGGAGTTGAGGTTGACCACAAGCCGCTCCCTGCAGGCACAGGCAGGCAGCGGCGGGAGGGCAGAAAGGAGCATCAAGGCGGTGCTCTGGAAGCTCCTCTTCTCCCCACAAAGGTTATCCTGCCTGTGTGCCCACCCGCCCCACCACCTGCCCACCGAATGAACTGGCGGCCAAAGGCCTGCTTGGCCAGCTGGTAGCCGGCGGCCCAGAAGGGCAGCGAGAAGAGGCCGAAGATGAGGCCGCCCCCGGCAACGGCGGAGATGGTCCAGAAGGCGACAAAGGAGTTCCAGGCGATGGCAAAGGCGCCGGTGGCGATCGAGTCGCCGCTGCGGGGTCAGCAGGAGTAGGGAGAAGAGCTGTGAGGGAGCAGAGGGCAGCAGCGGGGTGGCTGCAAGGCGGGCAGGTGGCGTGGGCGATGGGCGACACTACCAGCGTGGCAGACAGCAAGGCCCATGGCGGGCCAGGAGATCAACTTGCAACGGCAGCCGACCTGCTGCCATCAGCCCCGCGCACCTGAAGCCGGCCGGCGGGATGTCTATTTCGAGGCGCGGCCCGCGCTTCTTCACCTCAATCTTGCTGCCTGCGGGCCGGCGGCGCGCCACCGCCGCGTCTGGGGAGCTGTAGGCGTCGGCGGGCGCCAGCGCATACGCTTCCTGCTGGCCGCTCCTGTAAAAGGGCAACCGGGGGCAGCACAGATCGAACAAACACGGGTGGCCGGCAGCACCGGCGTTTGTGAGCACATACTGCTTCCCAGCGGTATCCCCGCATGACCGGCCCGGCAGCGGCCGCCCCTGGCCCTGCGTGCCGAGCCCACCTGCAGCTGCCTGCCAGCCAGCCGAACGCACCTGGCGCGCCGCGGCTTGCCGGTGAGCAGCGCCAGAGCATCCTCCGCCGGAAGCCGGTCCTCTGGGACAGGCTCCAACAGGCCGTCCACCACCGCCTCCAGGCGGGCACCCATCTTCACTGCAGGCACAGACACACGCGCACGCATACATGACGCGGCATGGCAGGAATCAGAGCATGACGGGGCGGCCGGGGCAATGGTGTCCTGCAAACCGCCTGCAGCTTGCCAAGCGCAGCTGCCTGGCCGGCCTGCCCTGCGCACCCAGCGCCTGGCTGCCTGCCCAGGACCCCGTGCTGCCCCGACCCTCCCACGCACCCGCACTGAAGTCTGTACGCATGCGGTCCACTGGGAAGGCAGAGGGCGGGCGCCCCGACAGCAGGTACAGCAGCGTACCGCCCAGGCCGTACAGATCCGAGGCCGGCGAGGCGGCCCCGCGGAACTGCTCGGGTGCCATGTAGCCGTAAGTGCCCACAATGGTGCTGCCCAGGCTGTCGCCCGCCGCCGCCGCCGCCTGCACGCCGCCAAAGTCGACCAGGAAGACGCGCCCGCCTGTCTTGCCGCCCTCGATCACAATGTTGTCGGGCTTCACGTCCCTGTGGGGCAGGGAAGGCAGGGAGGGAGGTGGAGCGGCAGCAGGTGCGCAGGGGGGCGGCGCGGCGGCAGGCAGCCGAGGTGGCAGGGCCAAGCCGGCTAGCTGGGAGAGCCGGGGGAGCGGCGCCGACGCAGCCTGGCGGCGGCCTCCCCTTGAGCGCCATACGGCAGCCCAGCGCAGCGCAGCGCAGCGCAGCCCACCTGTGGATCACGGGCGGCCTGCGGCTGCCCAGATACTCCAGCACCCCCAGCAGCTCCACAGCGATGCGGGTCACCTCCGCCTCGTCGGCCCTCCAGCCGGAGGCCACCATGTCTGCCAGGGACTTGCCCTGAGCCACCTCCTGCTGGCCGAGCGAGCAAGCAGGTAGGGTAGGCAGGTAGGGTAGGCGTGAGGCAGGCAGGCAGGCAGGCAGGAGGGGTGGAGGGCCGCAGCGATGGGCCGGGAGGCCAGGGTGGGGCAGACTGGTGTGGCAGCGGGTGGGAGAGCTGGCCGGCGTGCTGGCAGGCAGCTGGAGGGATTCGCACGCTGTCACTTTGCAGCCGCAAGTGTGAGACACAGGGGCACACCTGGACCAGGAAGAAAGCACGGTCCTGCTCCGTGTCCTGCTCAAAGTAGTCCAGGTACCGTGGGATACCCCTGCAGCACCACCAGCACCACCAGCAGTCGCCAGGATTGAGGTGCACCACGGCAGCTGTTGGCCGGCAGGCAACTGTCGCAGGCAAAGCGCATCTCATCTTGCGCCCTGGCTCGTGCGCCCAGCTGTTTTCTTGTCCACCCCCGCACCTGTGATCCAGGTTCTTGAGGATCTGGGCCTCCCGCTCGAACATCTCCAGCTGCTTCCAGTCTTTGAGCGTGCGCAGCGACAGGCACTTGACCGCAACGTCACTCCCGTCGGCGGTATTAGTGCACCGGTATGTCACGCCGTTGCCGCCGCGCCCCAGCAGCTCCACCACCGCATACTTGCCGCCCAGCAGCGTGCCCGGCTTGAAGTCTGCCTGCCCAGGGAGGCTGCCGCCGTTGGGGCGCTCGGCACCGTCCTGACCCGTAGCGGCGGCAACCGCCGACCGACGGGCCGGCAGCGGCGCGGGCGGTAGCAGGCGGGGGCAGCCCTGCTGCCCCTGGCGCGCTCTGCTGCTGGCGCCTGGCAAAGGCAGCCGGCTGCCAGGAAGCGCGAGCCGCGGGACTGGACTTCGGGAGCCTCTAGAGTGGCGTGGCCCACCCGAGCAGCCTGCAGAGCACACACGACAGGGCGCCAATAAGAGGCAACAATCAGCTGTGCATGGGCATCGCCGGGAGCTCACCTGAGCTGCTTGCTGCCGGAACCCCGCTTGTCAATTGTGAGGCCATCGCTGCTTAAGCCGCGCTTGCAGGATCGGAAGGGGCGTGATGCATCACTCGCTAACGCATGGAGCTGCGAAAGGCTGGCCATGTGTTTTTCTTCGCCTTTCCAAGGCAGCCCAGCCAGATATCGGGCCGTTTCCGTCACGCATTCAGCCACCCCAGCCGTTCTCATTTGCTCTGGACCACTTGTGAGCATTTGCAGCTGCTCCCAGCACACAGCAGGCCTGTGGTGGGTTCACAAAGGAGATGGTGAAGAAGGGCAAGGGCGTTGCCGCCGAGACGGCGCCTCCCGCCGAGGTGCGGCGCCGATGGTCCATGTGGCCTGGGCCTGGTCAGCCGCATGCGCCTCTGGCCCACATCCCCCCTCCAGCGATAGCGGGTGGCCAGGCGGTGTCAGATGGCGCCGGCCCTAGCGCCAGATGGCATTATGATGCATGCAACTGGCAAGCGGCAAGCTGGCCTGGTGGCCGGCACGGTGGGAGTGTGAGCATGGGTTTGGCTTGCGGTGTGTCGTGCAGGCCACCGAGGCCCTGGCGCAGCTCAAGGCCGATGGCAACAACAACTTCGCCAAGCGGGAGTATGACACCGCGCTGCGCCTCTACGACGAGGCCCTCAAGCTGGTGCCCGCCGACGCCGCCGACGCCGCACTGCTGCACAGCAATAAGGCCGCCTGCCACATGATGCACAAGCGGTGCGTGCGCTGTGCTGCAGCATGGGGGGCTGCGGCTGCTGGAAGGGTGGTACGCCGAGGCCCAGGCAGTGGCGGATCAACATGGTGCGGTGGCGGGATGCGGCGCTGGTGGTAGTAGCCCCGCCCGCCCCGCCCCGCGGCAGGGGGAGCGCTGTTGTGCAGCCAGCGCAGCCAGCCCACCGTTGGCCCTGTGATGGTGCCAGCCGCGCTGCCGGGCTCGTTTGCGCGCCGCCAGGCTGCCGAGGATGCATGGGCGCACCACCACATTGCCTGGCGCATGCTGCAGCCCCGCCACCCCCCAGCCTCACGCCCCCCACCCCCCACCCATTCACCTCTTCCCACTTTCCACCTCTTCCCACCCGCCCCCGCAGGTACAAGGAGGCGGTGGCGGAGTGCAGCGCAGCGCTGGACGGCCAGCCCAACTTCTTTAAGGCCCTGATCCGCCGCGCCAAGGCATATGAGCAGATGGGGCAGCACAAGCAGGCGCTGGCCGACATGCAGCGGGCCAACAAGCTGGATGCCGCCACCGAGGACACGCGGGTGGGTGGCGGGCCGGCTGTGGCGGAATGGGGTGGGCCCGAGGGCCTGCGCTTCTGCGTCCCAAGCGGCTCGCCGCCGCCGCCGGACGCGGTGCGCACGGCACCGGCGCCGTGCGCTGAGCGGCTGCCGGCCCCCGCGCCCCGCCCCGCCTGCCGCAGGACAGCGAGCGGCGGCTGAAGGACCTGGTGGCGGGCAAGAAGCCGGCGGGCATGGGCAACGGGCTGGGCAAGAAGGGGCCCTCCTCGGTGCCCACCAAGAACCCGGCCGCCGGCCGCCAGGTCATCTTCCCGGCCAAGCTGTCCATGGGGGACGACACCCGCCTGCTCCAGGTGGGAGGCCGCCTGCATGGATTAGTGTATGTGGGACAGCGGCCCGGGGCAGGGAATGGGGCGCAGCGGGGCGGAGGTTGGGGCCGGCGGGCCGGCGCTGCGGTGGCCGCCCATCTCCCAGCAGCGCAGGCTGCAGCCTCGCCCTCAGCGCCTCCCCAGGACCGCCCCGGACCCGCCCCGCCTCCTGCAGCTGCCCAACGCATGGACGGTTTTTTCTTTGTTGTTGCATTGACGTTTCGGCGCTGCCTCGTGCCTCCTGCCTAGTGCCCTCCTGCAGCTGGTGCCGGGTGTGACCTACCTGGAGCTCATGGAGCATGTGCGCCAGCTGTACCCCGCCGCGGGGCCCTTTGTCATCAAGTTTGTGGACAAGTGAGGCCCCAGCGGGCTGGGGCGGTGTGTGTGTGCGTGTGCAGAGAGAGAGAGAGAGAGAGAGAGAGAGAGAGAGAGAGAGAGAGAGAGAGAGAGAGAGAGAGAGTAGTGCTTGTGTGTGTGTGTGTGTGTGTGTTGCGGAGGCTGCAGCGCCGTGCATGCCGCGCCCAAGCCCAAGCCCGGCCTCGCCTGCCCCGCTCCGTCGATCAAGCAAGCGCATGCGCTCACGGCCGGCCCGCGTGGCCTGCAGGGAGGGCGATCTCGTGACGCTGGCCAGCCGCGCCGACATCCAGCGGGCGATGCAGGAGGCGGTGGAGGTGGCGTCGCGCGGCGCGGGCGCGCGCGCGCAGATCACCCAGCAGAGCCTGCCGCCCATCCGGCTGCAGGTGGTCAAGGTTGCCAGCGAGGTGAGGAGCGCGCTTGGCGCTGGCACGGCGAGAGCGCCCAGCATGCTTGGGGGCGCTGGCCTTGGCCTGGGGTGTGGCTGGGGAGGAACCCTGAGTGGCGGGGCGGCGACTCTGCCAGGATAGCTGCACGGCACTGCCTCAGGGCCCTGTGTCTCGCTTCCGAGGGGCGGCATCCCGGCGCTGGTCCTGCCTGTACCGCAGGCGGAGGTGCCCAAGATACCGGATGAGGAGATGGCGTATGTGAAGCAGATGCTGGCGCAGCTGCAGAAGGCGCAGGATGCTCAGAAGGCGACGGCCGCCGCCGCCGCGCCCGCTGAGGACGAGGGGCAGCCGCCGGTGAGCTGAGCTGGCGGCGGGGCGCCTGCTGCATCTCGCCCACGAGCAGGGGGCTGCAACCCCCGCCCTCCCACCTCTGTTGCTCTTGCGCCCTTCTTTCCGCACCGGCCGTGCCTCGGTGTGTCCCTCGAACCCTGCCCCAGCTCCACTTAACACGCCCACACACCACCCCCATCCCTTGCCCCCCTTACAGCCACAGATTGACGAGTGGATCCTCCAGTTTGTCGACCTGCTCAAGGAGCACTGCGGCATCGACCCCGACAAGCCGCTGGAGTGCCAGGAGGTGGGCGCATGCAGGCGCCACACGGGCGCCACGTCACCCGCCCCCGCCGCACGCCTGCGGTGCCCCTGCGCGGTGCCAGGGCGAGCCTGGCGCCCCCTCTCAACCCCCGCCCTGCCTCTCGTCCCCGCCACCTCTCCTCCCAATCTCTACGCCACCACTCCCGGCCTCGCCCTCCCTGCCACCTCCCTCCCTCCCACCCCTCCCTCCCTCCCACCTCCCCGCCTGTGCTTGCCTGCGTGCAGGTGGGCCAGGACCGCCTCAACGCCGCCTTCACCGCCATGATGGCTGAGGACCCAAAAGCGGAGGAGCTGCTGGACCAGGCGCAGGACAAGTTCGAGGTGGGGCGCAGCGCCGCCGTTTGGGGAGGGCGGTGGGGTGGTGTGTGTGTGCGAGGGTGTGGTGTGTGTGAGCGCGTGGTGTGTGTGCAAGGGTGGGGTGTGTGCAAGAGCGGGCAGAACGCAGGACATGCGCAGGGCCAGCTCGAGGCAGGCTGCGCGGGCGGCTGCGGTGTGCATACTTCTGTGAGGGTGGTGGCGCGGGCGGTTTGTTGCTTCGGTTGCCGGCGTGGATCCTTGCCGCTGGGCCCAGCCGTGAGCGCGCGCCTTGAGCCACCTCTCCTCAACACTACTCCCCGCCTCCCTGGCCCCCCTCCTTTCCTCCCCGCAGGACCAGGTGTGCTACGGCATGTACAACCAGGCCACGGTGCACCAGTACCGCGCAGAGGCGGTACTGTTCAAGGCGGCGCGCGAGGGCACACCGGGCGCCGAGGTGGCCGAGGCGGCAGAGGCGCACATCAAGGTGGGTGGCCGATATGTGTGTGTGTCTGCATGTGTGTGTGTGTGTGTGGATGGCGGCCTGCTGCCTTGGCTAGCCCTGGGAGCGGCTGTTCCACAAACCGCTCCGACGCCGGGCGCCCCCAGCCTCTTTGCTCCTCTCCACCGCAACCGCCTCCCCCTCCCGCTCCCCCGCTGTCCCCTCTCCCTCCCAAGCGCAGAAGGCGGAGGAGCAGCTGGAGGCGGCCACCGCCTACAAGCGCGCCTTCCTGGACGGCTACCTGGGCAAGTCGGCGCTGGCGCAGCTGCGCGCCAAGCTGGCCGCAGACTACCTCATCGCCCCCGTCAAGTGAGCCTCTGGCTGCTTCGTCCCCCCTTCTCGCCTCATCCTGCCGCCGAGGCCGCGCACTGCTGCCGCGGCACGTGCACTGCTGCTGCTGCCGCCGCCGCTGCCTGGCTACCGCTGCGCTCCTCCCCTCCCCACCATCACGCGCTGCCCGCCGGCTTCGCACAGCACTCACCTGCCCTCACCTCCCACCACCTCACCTTTCCACCCCGACCCCGCACCTGGCGCAGGCCGCGGGAGGACATTGCGGACGCCAAGGAGCGCGCCGCGGCGGAGGAGGCGGCCAACAAGGAGAGCCAGCGGGCGGCCATGGCGCGCGTGACGCCGGCCAGCGCGCAGGCGGCGGAGCCGCTGTTCGAGGCCGCCTACGGCTTCATCCAGCAGGCGGTGGCCAACATGAGCGAGGAGGAGGCGGGCAAGGAGATCAAGCAGATGAAGCCCACGGTGGGCTCGGTGTGCGGGGAGGGGGAGTTGTGGCGAGGTGGTTGCGTGTGTGCTGTGTGCCGTGCTGTACAAGGTGCACGGTGCTGTAGAGCTGTGTGCTGTGTGCTGTGTGCCATGTGCCATGCATGCATGTGGGTGTGCACTGCGCGGGCGAGCGCTCGCCTCTCTGCCTTCCTGTCTTCCTCCTTCACCTGTCTTCTGTCCTCCCGCCTGCTTTCCGCCCCGGCCCCGGCCCCGCAGGCGGAGCAGGACCCCAGCGACCCGGACAACCAGACCAGCGTGAAGCAGAGCCTGCTCATCAACGTGAGCTCTGCACCGAGCACGCCGCGCCCTGCCCAGCAGCTGGTGCCATACACTGCGTTTTGGGGTAGTTTAGTGTCGCTGCCGCCAGGCCACCAACCACCGCCAGTCGTCGCGGTGCCCGGGCAGCCGTGCTGCGCACTTCCCCTTTTGTCACACCGCACACATGCCACATGCACGCGCGCGCACCACATGCACACTCGCCCCTCCGTGCCCGCCCCTCTGCCCTGCCCCGCAGCACGGCAATGCCAAGTATGAGCACAGCATCCTGCGCGCGGCGGGCGGGCTGGAGTGGAAGGTGCTGGTGGAGGAGGCGGCGGCCAAGTTCAGGGAGGCGGGTGAGCGCCTGCCTGCCTGCCTGCCTGCCTGCCTGCTCGTCTGCATCACAGCCTGCATTGCCGGCTGCCTGCCTACCTGCCTGCCTGCGTCCGTCTCATGCGGGGGTTCGCCATGCACGTGCCTGTGCGTGCGGGGTGGGAGAATACGAGGGCCAGGCACGGCCGCATGCCTGCCTTGTGCGTGCCGCCTGCCGCGGCCGGCCCCTGCCACCCACCGCCGCCTCCGCCACGTGCCCCTGCCTCCCTGCCTCCGCTCAGGCGCGCACGCCACCGACATCCGCAACGCGCTCAAGGGCCACCCCATGGCCGAGGAGATGGCTGACATCATCGGCCCCGAGCCGGAGCCGGAGGCGGCGGCGGCGCCCAAGGAGGAGGCGGCGGCCAAGGAGGCGCCCAAGGGGCTGCCCAGCCTGGACCGCAAGGCCAAGAAGAAGGAAAGCGCGTGAGCGGCCTGGCCAGGCTGCGCCGCGGGGCGTCTGGCAGCGCAGCGGGGCAGCCGCGCGCATGAGCCGGGCCCGGCCGGGCTGAGCCTGTGCCTGCCCGAGCGGCGCGCGGCGGCGGCCCCAGGCCCCCTGCTCTAGTGCTGCGATGTGCTGCCTCTGCCCCCCTGCTGGTCACCATCCTCCCGATATGCGCATAGTAGAACCCTCGCTGCACTTGTGTTGCCTCTCTGTGCTGCGCCCGCACCGAGCGGCAGCCCCCCTGCCAGTTTTCCGCCTGCTGCAGTGCGCTCCCGCAGCCATTGCTGCGGGCGTGGCCGGGCCATGTCCCCCGCCCTTCATACTTTTCTCACTGCTCTCTCTCGCTCCACTTTCATGCTTCTTGCTTCGTCTCGCCCTACTTGCTGCTGTCTGCTTCCTGCTGCCAACACTCTCGGCACACTGCAACCTGCCCCAAGTGCCCGCCTATGTGGCACACCCCTCCCCACCTTCTTGCTGCCGTGGGCCTGCCACGCAAAAATTACGCGCCTCCAGCCGTGCCACAGCAGCAGCCCACCCTGCCAGTATCTTTCAGTGAAGTTGTGTGGTGAATGTGCACAGTTCAGAACGTTTTTGGGAAGGAGCTGCTGATTGTGATGTGAAGGCAGTGCAATTCACCATTTGCCAGGCAAGGGATCCAAATGGATGCAGAGGCCAAGGTGCAAGCCCATGCGACCACAGCAGTGCAAACCAGGAGGGACCGAGGCGGGGCCGGCTGCTGCCACTATGCCGCCGACGCTCACGGTACTGTACCGCCGCTGTGGTGAGTGTGCATTCCCAAAGAGGCTGGCATCGGCGATTCCTGATTCGTGGAGCACAAAGCATTCCAAGCTGCGGCTCGCGACCCGCCGGCTTTGCCCAGCTTTGCCCCCCGATGCTGCACCGCCTCTCCTCCATCACCACGCTGTGCCTCGGTTAGCAGCTGCCTCTGGCCACTCTTCCTGGATTGAATGCTGGCATGGCTGAGACTCAACTCATTGAAAAAAATCGTATCGTATGATACAGACACAGCCTCCAGAAATGGCATGAAGCATGAAAGATGCATTGTAGTATCCGATTGCCGTGTGGCAGGTTCGATATGTGACAACAAAGGGCGGGACCCAGCTTCAGTTGGGCAAGGATTGGCCGCCTGCCGGTTCCGCTGCTGCCAGCGAAGAAACCGATCGTGTACAGGGCTGCGTTCTTCTACAAGTCCCTGGTCGAGTGCAGGACTCGCTGCCACCCTACCGGTTCTGCCACTTGATCTTGTATAGCGCAAAGGTGCTGGACACGAAGAAAGCGACGGAGAAGGAGGCCAGGATGAGGACCAGCCACCAGCTGAAGCTCTCCTTGTAGCCAAAGTAGCTTTCGATGAACGCCTTCACCGTGATGGGAGGGCTCTGGTCCTGCACGCATCACAGCCGGGCATGCGGGAGGTGAGAGGGTGCGCCAGAAGCGGCGGGAGCTGCCAACGACAGACACTCACCGCCATGAGGTCCTCGTTGTCTCCCAGCTCGCCAACAACGAGCCCATAGAGGGTGTAGGAGATGGGATCCAGCCAGTACATCCATATCCATCCTTTGGGTATCAGCGACTGAGGCTTGTAGAATCCCTGCAGCAGGCACCGCCAGGCAGGCACAGTCGGGAACAGCGGGCCGCAGGCTCGGTGCCCAGGTGGCCAAGCGCTGCTGCCATGCCAGCGTTCCCAGCAGCGGCGGCTCTGAAGCAAGGCGGAGGCTGCCAGCAGCCGCGCTGCCACTCACGCAGAACAGGTCCCACACGCCTGTGGCAGCGGGTGGGCAGCAGGCTGAGGGGAGCAGCGGCGCGTGTCAGCGGCAGACTGCTCGGTGGGCAGTTGCACTGTGCAGTACAGCAAGTGCACTGTGCGGTACAGCAGGGCTCCCTGGTAACGGCAGCAGCTGCTGCGGGCAGCCAGCCGTCCACGCACCATACATGAAGGAAGTGAATGCATTGGCGATGGCCAGCGAGGGAGTGATCTGGACGTTGTGGATGCCGAAGAATGTCCTGCACCCCAAGACAGATGGTGCGCTGTTGGGCCCTTGTCCCTGGCATGCTGGCAGCTTTCAATCCTCCAATGGTGCCTCAGCCCTGGGGTGTGACTGGGAGCCAGCTCTTCCACTCACCAGACCAGGAGTGTGAGGAACAGGATGAGCAGGAACCAGAAAAACTTGCCAGCTTCGGCCTGGAACCCCACCAGCCTGCAGGAGGGAGAGCAATCGGGGAGCTGGACACAGGAGGCAGCACAGCCTGCCGCAACAATGCTGGGTGCGGCCAGGCGAGCGTGGCGGCCAGGCATGCGACGGGTGGCTCCCCATCTCCCAGGCAGCTGCTGCAACCGATTGACGAGCAAGCGATAGCGCACGGCAACGGCGAAAGCAGATGAAGAGCAGAAACCGGGCCCTTGCTATGGCAGCCAGTCGCGCACCAGTACAGCACACAGGAGTACAGTACTGCCTGTACCGCCAGGTAGGGCACCTCCACCAAAAACTCAGCCGCAGAGAAGGGGAGCACCTGGTAGGTGCCGCCCGCACGCTCACGGTAAAACACCGTCCTGCAGGTGCAGCCGACAACCAAAAGGTGAGGCATGTGGAGGGGTCCGGAAGGAAGCTGTACGACGCATGCCTGAGCGCATATTTGGCACGGCACATGGGCTGCGCTGCAGTCACCATCCTTCCTGGCCTGCATACAGAAACACGTGCCAGACAACCTGCAACCAAATGGAGGGCCCACCTGCGGACCGAGATGATCGACTGCACCATCATTGCATTCAGGATGCCAATGAACATGACACTGCTGTATTGCACGCCCATGATGTTCAAGATTCTGCAGGAGCAGCGGAGCACAGGAAGCTTGGGTGGGCGGGTGGTGAGTAGATTTGACCAACCAGCTGACGCCAATGCACTGGGCAAGCCGCTCCACGCTGCCACTTGCTCACCCGTTGTAGGTGTAAGCGTTGTCACCCTGCAACAAGGAAGCGCAGCATTGCCCAAGGGAGGTGAAGCATCCCGCCTGCGTTGAGCACCCTTGCTTGCAAGATGTGCCCACCTGCCCGCCTCCCTTGCGGCACCCGCCCGCTTGGCAGCCTCACCTGTCCCGCCAGCACGGTCCCGAAGAACACAGCGATGATGATTGTGATGCCCATCCTGGTGCCCACATAGTTGAGCAGGCGGTTGTACTGCCGGAAGTTGCGTAGAAGCAGCTGCCAGGTCTGCGGTACAGGGCAGGGCAGGGCAGGCGCTTTCGATGCTTTACGGTTTCGGTGCAGCAGCGGCCGGCTGCCCTTCACTTGTGTGCATCAACAACTGGAACCATGCCATTGCGCAAAGGAGTGCAGGAGAAACGCAAGCGCTTCGCATGTATGGCAGCAACCCCGGCGCCGCCACCCCACCCACCTGCACTGGCGCCGAGGCGGCGGCCAGGTCTTCCAGCCTCAAGTCCGCCTCTCCCTCCCGCGGCTCGCACAGCTTGGCGATGGCGTTGTCGTTGTCTTCCGCCAGCTCGCTGAGAGCATAGCTGTCGGCAAAGTCCAGGTCAGCCTCAGCCTCCACCTGGGCTGACGTCACCTCCAGCATCCAGGTGGCAGGGTTGTACCTGCAGGCGGGACAGGCAGGGAGGCAGCGTGGCGTCGTGCCAGCTTCACTGCAGTGGCGCACATGAGCGGCACACCCCCTAGAGCTGGTGCAGTGTAGCAGGGAGGCAACGGCCAGCCACACCACAGACGCGGCATGGCAAGGGCTCAAGACGCAGCATGCGCATGTGGGCCACTGCGGCCGCCAGCAGTGCACTCGCCGCACCCTGGTTTGATGGCAGTGACGCCCTTGAACTGCTGGAGGTAGGCAACCAGGTTGGAGGCCCCTGTGCCCAGCTCCCCAGCAAAGATGGTGCTGCCGCCGCGCTTCAGCAGCAGCAGCTCATCAAAGGCCTGCAGCAGCAGCAGCAGGCGTGGGTCGTCAGGCAATCAACGGATGCGAGGGCTGAGAGGCTGGGCAGGTGCCGCCACTGACGGTGGCGGCGAGGTGCCCTGTCCAGGAAGGGCCACAAGGCAAGGCGAGGGAGGCCAGGAGGCGAGGGAGGCCAGGAGGCACCCGGCACGGGGGCACCCTGCAGCAGCAAGCCAGCGGCGCCGCACCTTGAAGACGTCCCAGGAGGGCTGGTGGATGGTGCACACCACGCAGCGGCCTGTGCTGGTGATGCGCCGCACGGCGCGCATGACGATGGCGGCGGCGCGGGCATCCAGCCCCGAGGTGGGCTCGCTGCGCCAGGGCGAGGCAGGGAGCAGGCCGGTCAGCAGGGCAGCCTGTGGCTGAGGGAAGGGCCTGGCAGGCAGACGCAGAGCCAGCAGGGGCCACACAGCGTGCCAGCAGGGGTAGATGGAGGACAGCAGCGGGGCTCACTCCATGAAAACGATGCTCGGGTTGGCCACAAGCTCCACCGCGATCGTGAGGCGCTGCACACAGCAGAGGGGGGGCGTTGCAGGTACGCAGAGTGCGCTTGGCATTGTGCACGGGCGCAGGTGCCATCCAGGCCGGCAGCGGCTTGAGAAGCAAGTTGGCAGCGGCTCGAGGGAGGCAGCAACCCAGCAGTGCACAGGCTGAGCATGTAAAAGAAGTGTGCCTCCTGGAGAGCCCTGCGCCTCCCTACCTTGCGCTGCTCCACGCTCAGCCCGCTCGATCCAGGCATGCCCACGATTGCATCCCGCAAGTTAGTCAGCTCAACCACTTCCATCATCTGCGCAGAGGTGGCGGTGCAGGGGAGGTGGAGAGGTGGAGAGGTGCAGGCAGGGAGGGAGGAAGCAGCTGATTGGGGGAGATGGGGAGGTCAACTCCTGTGGACGCGCCGCAATCACAAACCAGGCCAACACAAACCAGAATAAACTCAGGCCCGCCTGCAATCCCCGCCCTGACCATCAGCACCAAGCGCCCACACCTCTTCCACAAAGCAATCGACGGTGCTGGCTGGCACCGCAGAGGGGAGGCGCAGGCGTGCGGAGAACATGAGGGCCTCTCGCACTGTGGCCTCTGCCACATGGATGTCAAACTGCTCGGCATACCTGCAGGAGCAACAAAGTGGAGGGTGATGCACTGATGCACTGTTGACAGCATCTATAGCATGGAGGCCACGCCTCAGGCGGCTGCACGTGGCAGATGCAGCCAGGCAGCTGCGGCGTGCAGCTGCACTCACCCCATCACTCGGTTGAAGGTGGCAGGCTGCTGCGGGAAGCCGTTCACGCGGATGTCCCCCGTGATCTTGCCACCCGTCTTCCGTAGGCTGCAGAGAGAGGATGGGGCGGCGGTTGCGGCGGGGTGAGGTGGTGCGGGGATGGGCTGGGGGGGCAGCAGCAGAAGAGGGGCAGCAGCAGAAGAGGGGCAGCAGGAGTGACGGCGGCGGGCGGCGGCGGCGGCGGGCAGGCAGCGGCAGAGGCCAAGACCCCACAACCCTAAGCCAGCCCTAGGCCGATCATGTAAGGAGGAGTTGGCTATGCTCCACGCCTTGGAAGGGAGGGAGAACAGCGCATTTTGTGCTTCCCTATTCGCGCTTTCCAAACCGGCCTGTTCACCTTTTGGCTCGACCAGAGCACCTTCTGGTGCACCCACTGGCATGCTGCCTGCTGGTCGATCACCTTGCACTCTGGGCACATCAGGCGGGCTGGGTTCAGCAGGTGCCCCACGCATACCGAGCCGGGCTGCCCGCAGGCCTCGCACGGGCCCAGCACAGTGGAGCCCTGCTTGTTCAATTTGAACTGCCGCCGCCTCCGT